TACTCTCAGCGGCCTCGATCAGAATTTGGAACTGACTCTCTTTCTAAACCAAATACCTGTATGAAGGACAAGATTGTCGTGATTGGTGCTGTCCAATCAAAATTAACTTCTGAGTGGCATAGCGGGCAGCCCCTGAGGTCTGGACTTTACCCGCTATGAAGATGAAAGCAGTCGTGCATTACTGACATTCCACTATGCTAGGACAAACGGCCTGACGGAAGCACCTCAAGCAGGCAGAGGTTTATTGACGCTCAAGTCTGAGGGTGCATCATGGCAGTGAAGGCATAGCAGCTACACTGGCTCTAGCTGTGGTAGCTGAGGCATGAGGCGGCTAGCTAACACACGGTGTCCATAGTCAAGGCGCAGAGACAAATGCTGGTGTCGATTCATTTGTCAGGCGGCATGGTGCTTGATGATGGGCCTTCCCTGCTCAGTCAAACCTCCCTGCAAGCATCCTCAGTGACACACAATCCCAGAAGTGTGTCTCCTAAGAGATTCCAAATCCAGTCAAGCTGATGGTGAAAATCACACCCAGGGTAACTGAGACATCAGCCTTGTCCATCTGCCGCAAAGCAGGACTGCACGGCCTTTGGTCAAGACAGTGGGAGGATTGGGCGGCATCCAGTACACAACCACAGTTCCGAGGGATAAGTTTCAGAAGACAACCACAAGAATGCTAACAAAATTCTATGTTCAGCGTGTAAATTCTATGCTCAGGGTGTAAACTCTATGTTCAAAGTGTATTAGGAAGGGTTAGGGAGGCAGGAAGCTGGATTTTTGGCTGCCTTCTAGAGTAAAATTAAACATTTCAAGATGAGGAAAAAGTTGAGTTTGGGATCAAGGATTTCTGCCTTTGGCAGAGAAGACAAGAAAGAAAAAAATTTTCTTTCTGGACTGAATAGAGCAGCGAGGTCTGTGTTTTGAGAGAAAGGGTCTCTTATTTCTGGAGGGGCTCAAACAGCTGTGAGAGGGAGATACGCAAGGGTGCAAAGCCAACAGCATCCCAGGGGCCTGTATGCAAGACGCCCAGCATGCTAGGCGAAGGCTTGCATGAGACCTGCGGGAATAACAGGAAGACACATTCTTGGTTAGTGAGGAGTCAACCTTAACTTGGTAGCTTCTGAGCTTTCCACTGACCCTGGATCTCAAGGGATTTGAGTTCATTTACTCTGGGCACAATTCACCTTCTCAGTACTAAGGAAAAAATAGGCCCCAAAGATTTGTAGCTCTCTGAGAAACCACACAGGGGTGAGTTAAGTGTAAATGAATCCCAAACATGCAGATTAAATTTCCCCTGAACTGCACCAGAGTTTAAAGGCCAAGGAGAAAAGCACTTGAGGCCAAACATATTTGGCTTTTGTAGAACCCAAAACATTTCTAATGAGTTTGAAATCATTCAATTAACAAAATTCAGCTACGTTCTTTCTCCCAAGTCTGGCATCCAGCCTGGTGGCAAATCCACAGCTGTCAGTCAGGACCCGCTTTCCCGTAGGGAGGAGATTACTTTGGGTTGGAAGAGTAACTCCTTGATCCAATGTGATCAAAGGTAGCTGGGGCCAATATCGTGACAGTGACAGCCTGTAAAACAAATTGTGGATCCCAAAATTCTGTACTTCATTGAGATGAAGAGAGAGAGAGAAAGAGAACTCCCTAAGAGAGAGAACAAAAGACCATCATTTTGAAATGAGTTCTGTTTCAATGAGAGGGGGAAAAAAACCCATCTCTTTGAGGAGAAAATGAAGCAACCCCTTTAGAAAACTTGGCATTTCAAAGCCCCCAAGTCTCTAGCTGGGGTGTGTGTCTGCCCTGTGGAGTGATGGAGTATGATCTAGGGCACACTTCCTACTGGGGAGTGAATTACCTGTTTGTTTATTAGTTTATCCACTGTTCCGGACTAGACCAAAGCTATTTGACAATGGTACATTCTGCCACTAAGGTCCTGTCCTGCCCTCTTCCTTGTTGCACTGAAGTGGGTTTCATACAACCAAGGCTGGCCTCAAACTTACCCTGTAGTAGAAGATGATCCTCCTGCCTCCGTCTTCTCAACGCTGAGGTTGTAGACCTGAGCCACCTCTCCCAGTCTACGTGGTGCCAGGGCTAGGCAAACACTCCACCACCTGAGCTACACCCCTGAGCCTCCTTACTTGGCTTTCAAACACCGTCATGGCAGACTAGCTTCTTAGATACACATCTGTTCTTTCTCGGGTGTACTTGCCCATTGAGAAGTTAGAGGAGCATGAATTCCTTTACTTACTTTTGTGAGAAGACTGCTCGGCCTAGGCTGGGTCAGGCTAACCTCCTGCCTTCTTTGTGAGTACTCAAGACAGCACCTAACTCCACTTGCTTGGCACTTGCAGGTTGTCTGGTCTGAGCTAGGTTTCAAATAGAGGCTATTATTATTATTATTATGATTATATTATCATTAACAAAAGCAGAGATTCCATGTCTTCCAGACAACTACCTGTGAATGTGACTTCTTGAACCTGAACTTGAATTAAGTGTTACACTTAACTCCTAGTTTTGCTCCCTTGAGACAGAAAGTGCAAACAGCGGTGATTGGTTATTTAATGATGGGCTCCTTCAATAAAACTGATGGCGTAGTCGTAAATAGAGGTGTGGTCCATTTTGTCCTAACTTCAATGGAACACATTTGATGCTACCCGCATTATGTGCTCTGTTTCGTAGGAACCCAATAAGAGTGATATTACTACTGTTTTATCTAATTGGAGGCCTGGCTTCCAAAGAAATTATTTCTCTGACAAGCTTGCCACAGTAGGAAGCAGCAGGGGCACAATCTGAAGGAACCATTGAGAGCCCAAGTCTGGTCCGTCTTGACCAGCATCTCCCACTGGACCCAGCTAAACAAAAGTGGGACCTAAGAGTTCTTTTGCTGTAAGAACACTTCTCTAGCCAAACAGTGGTGGCACACGCCTTTAGTCCCAGCACTCGGGAGGCAGAGGCATATGGATCTCTGCAAGATCGAGGCCAGCCTGGTCTACAAAGTGAGTTCCAGGACAGTCAGGGCTGTTATACAGAGAAACCCTGTTTCAAAAAACTAAAAAAGAACATTTCCCTAGAATTTTGTTTTCTTAGCCTTAATTCAGTTATGGAGGGAAAGAAATGATACTTGGGGGGGGAGGCATCAAACTTGGTTGTCTTTTTTCAGTTAAATTAGATTTTATAAGAACCCTTGATAAAACCATAGGAAATAATATCACTTATCCTGTCTTGTTTAAGTCAGTTCAGAAAACACCTTTCCTAGCTCCTGACTTGGGGAGATGGCTTATGTAATTGCTATTGGAGAGGCTTGTTTTGTTAAAGAACAAACTTCATGTGGAGAACACTAACTCTTCCTTTGGGAGAAACTACAGTGACAGAGACTCACCCCTGCAGACAAAAAGGCCATCAGATGTTGGGTTTTCGTGGGGATGCTTGCCCAGCAGAAGCCAAAACTAAGTGCTCTGTCCACCCATTGACCCATTGCTTCCAAATTCTCAAAACTGGCAGTGGGTTACCACTCCTTTTCCCTAAGCCACTGCCCCCTCTTACCAAACCACCCCCCATAGAAACGCCTACTTTTCCCACCCCCACAAGCACATTCCCAAAGCAAATGAATAGTTAAGACTGTGACAAGTCTTTCATCTGACCCATAGTAAGGAAAAAAGAGAACACAGATTTTGCCAAAATGGAAATGCTCTCTGGAAAAATTTAAAAATATTCCTAAAATCTCAAATTAATAAGTGAATGGACCCCAAGGGGGAAAAGGAATCTCTAAAAATAGACACAACGTGAAATATTTTTGAATCATTAGGACGATGGAAGTGGATGCACTGAGACCTTTTGTAAGAGGATTCCCTGTCTCCTATCAGTGTTTGATTTTACCCTTGAACTAGGGCCTTAAGAAGTCACTGCAGACAGGAAGCAGTGGTGGTTCCAGATTTTCTTTCTGGATATTGGGGGCAATGGAAGGCTTGGGCACAGTATTAGTGAAGGTTCTCTAGACACTGAGAGCAAAGCGGAAGGAAGGGTAGATAGAAAGATGATACATAGATAGGTTGCACAAATATAGAGGCTAGCAAGTCCAAACTCTGCAGAGATGATGTCCTAGTTCAAAAGTCATCAGGCAGAGAGGATATCCTCTTGCATAAGGGACATTACCGTTTTGGTCTGTTCAGGCTTTCAACTTATTGAGTAAGGCCAACAACATTAGCCAAAGCAATCTGGGTTACACAGTCTATCCATTTAAAGGCTAACCTCATCCCAAACCCACCTCAGAAAAACAAGCAGAATAATGTTTAGATCTCCATAACTAGCCAAGCTGACACAGAAAATTCACCACCACATAAAGTACCTAGCAGCACACAGACTTTAGGTAGTACAGGTACTGGCAAGAAGCCATGGAAGTGGTAAGGTATGATGAAACCAATAACCTGCATAACATGCTCCATCCCCAGCCACAATCGTGAGCACTGTCCATTGTCTACCCAGCATCCATCGCTCTTTCCTTTCTTCTGCTGAGCAGTTGCTGCTAATCATCCACGTAGCCCTATTCTTTATGAGACCAACATCTAAGACTAAGCCCAGCTGGTGTAGAATAACCCTTGTGACCATTTCATCAAACTATAACTAAGGAAAAGCCTAGTAGACACCATCTTCTGTGTTGAGAAAGACAGTTTCTGGCCATGAATGCTTGCCCAGGTAGACAACCATGTCAAGTTCTGCGGCCCGAACCCTGTGATGAGAACTGGGATTCCTGATCCTGCAAGCTTCTGAAACAGCTCACTTAAGAGACCACCACCACACATCTGGGCTTACTGATAATATAAAGCAATAAGTCCCCATCGGATTCATGTCCGTTACCTTGGGCTTTCAGATGTCCATCGCCCTAAGCACCTAGAAGATATACTGAGGAGCCCCATTTGACATAGCCACTGGCCTACAGGCTAAAGGAGCTTCAAGAAGTTCACCCCAAACTGAGAGATAGCAGTCATACACCTTACCTTACATGAGGCCTTAGACTTAGTGATGTCATGCAGCGTTTACAAGAAATCCCCATTTGGGTTAAAATTGCCATAGAGTTCCCCTTGTTGACATAAAATTAAATGTCAAGAAGAAAATACACAGCCTTAAAGGTTGACTTCCTCCATCAGATCCAAGCTTGGCTGTGTCCTTGTCTCTGTGAGATGTTCACTCTTCATGGGTCTCAAGAGCCTCCAGCGATCAGTCCACAGGATGATGGCCTGAAATCCAGCTTCCGTGAAAGCATTTGTTTCCTGCATGAAATGAAAATGGAAATGCAAAATGGAGACTTGAAATGCTGTTTAAAAATATTGAATTACTTTTTAATTTTGCATCTCTACATTTGTGACCTCTCCTTAGTCAGCCCCAGGGATCCACCCACTTCCACAGGAAGTAGATTGTTTGCAAGAGAAAGTAAAGAGCTGGTGTGAACCATACAATTTTAACTTTCAGAATAGAATTCTGAAATAAAGCACCATGTTTCACAAAAGAAGATTTTTTAATGAATGTTCCATTTTAAAATATTTTAAATACACATAAAATAAATAATAGTATTTGTGGTGACTTAAATACAAATGGTCCCCATAGGCTCATATGTTTAAATGCTTAGTCACCAGGGAGTGGCACTGCTTTGGAGGGATAAGGAGGTGTGGCCTTGTTGGAGGAAGTGTGTCAGTGCAGGGCAGGCTTTAAGGCTTCAGAAGCCCCAGACAGGCCTACTGGCTCTTCCTCTCCTTCTGCTGTCTGCAGAATCTCAGATACTTTTCCAGTACCATGTCTGTTTGCATGCTGTTATGCTTCCTGCCAGGACGAAAATAGACTAAATGGACTAAGTCTATGAAACTCTAAGCCAGCCCTAGTTAAAAGCTTCTTTATATGTGTTGCCATGGTCGTGATGTCTCTTCACAGCAATAGAATACAGACTAAGACAGTATTATATATACTTTCATATCCATGGTAGCAAATTTAAAAATTCTTTACATTTTCCCACATTTTCTTTAAATTTTTTTGGCACAATAGAATGAGTTTGTGTAAATATAAACAGGTCTGTGTAAATATAAACCAGCGTTCTACCCCATTACCACAATGTGAACCAGTGCTCGACCCCCCCCAGGTTGCAATGTGAACCAGTGCCCGACTCCTGGGCTGCAATGTGAACCAGTGCTCGGCCCTGGGGCTGCATTATATCCCTAGTAGCTTTAGATTTATTTTTACCTTTAATTGTGTGCATCTCTGTACGTGCCTATGTGTGGGTGTGTGCAGGTGAGCACAGGTGTCTGAAGAGATCGGAGCTGATGGAGCCCCTGGAGCTGAAATTCTTGGCAATTGTGAGCCATCTGATATGGGCTGAGGGAACTGAACTCCAGGCCTCTGCAAGAGGCCTTAATCAAAGAATTAATGCTCTTAATCAAAGAGCCGTCTCTGCAGTCTCTGGATCTTTTTATTCATTCATTCGTTCGTTCATTCATTTATTTTTGCAGTAAAGATTTGTTCAGTTATTTGTATTTATATGCATGTGTCTGCGTGCGTGTGTGCGTGCGTGTGTGTGTGTGTGTGTGTGTGTGTGTGTTTACATTGTGAGTGCAGGTTCCTATGGAGACAAGATGTCAGTTCAGTCCTCTGCAGCTGGAATCACAGGCAGTTCTGAGCTGCCTGACCTGATGTGGTTGTCGGGACTGAACCAGTGTCCTTTGTAAAACAGCAGGTACTCTGAACCACTGACCTACCTCTCCAGCTGCCACTGGATCTTTGCGAAGCAACACAGTAACTACCTCTTCAGTTAATAATCCTTACCCTGAATATTTTTATCCTCACTATTACATGTTAAACATGGTAGAACAATGCATTATCTTAGAATGGAGAGTTGGAGTATTATATTCAGTTTTTCATTCATACAATGCTGGAATAAGTGTTTCTCTTCTTTAAGCACATGTGAGAATTGGTTTTTGACATTTAGGAAAACTATATGGGAATTACCAATGTTCAACCTCAATCAACCTACAGAACTGTCATATATGTCAAGAATAAGATATTGGGCCTGAAGGTATAAATTTCTACAGAAAAACTTTGGAGAGGCTCTTTCTAAATCCTTTGGTATGCCAACAGCCAAGTCTTCATTACTTGGTTGACAACATGGAATGACCCAGTTCTATAGAGGACAGAGAAATACGGCTTAGCTATGAAAGAAAATATAGCATCAAGAAAAATCCTAGCTGTTTCCATGTCTCAATGTCACCTACAAAACTTGAATATTTTAAAGTCCCAGATTTTCACTGTTCCCCAAAGCTATGACATCATAGTCGACTGGGAGATACTTGATTCTAATCTACAAGGGAAGTTCAGTGCAGCGCGAGCTTTGTCGTTAGCAATGGCTCATGGGAACGTTTGGGCCTACAAAAGGCTCAAAGTTTAGACAGAAGCGTTTCTAGTCCGCACCCATCTTCTCCTCAGTGAACCAGAAAAGATAGTCGGAGTGGAGAGAGTCGAAAGAAATGTGTAATGTTTGCTGTAATGATTCTGTCTCTGAAGCCAAGGAGGAAGAGCTCTGTCTTCACCGAGGAGAAGATGGGTCTGGATATCTGAAGGTCGTTCTTTAGTGACTAGGAATGCTCCAGTCAGCATCCACTCACAAATACTATCCCTAGTAAACCAAATGCATAAAGTTTGATGTTTGTGAAATTCTTCAAACACTTTTTTTTGTTGTTCTAGAGTCTACATATAATTCCTTAAATATTCTTTTCTGGATGACTGGCACTTAGGAATTCTCTGCAGACTTTTAAAACTTAAGTTTGGTCTGCCTTAAATAGCTCTATTGTGAAACAATGCCTATTTTTTATTTTATTTTGCCGTTGAAAAAATGAGCCTCAATTATATCTGTGACTTAGAAATAGATCTCCTTGTGTTCTTTAACAAGGACACAGCTTATGAATTGCATTGTTCATCATTGGGTGAACATCGTAGAGTATACTTAAGTACATTAAGACTGCTGTGACACTCTAGGCAAATTAGCCTCATAGGCCCATCATTATATAAGTGGTCTGTTGTTAGCTGAAATATTTGAGAGCACATGACTACATTTGTCTTCCCTGTGTTCCACAAAGACTCCATCTCAGAGTACATCAGCAAGGTCAAACCTAAAGTCCATAAATCAGAAATGTATGCTGGCATCTACTGGAGGCAGGGATGTGTCGCAGACCACGGGAAGAAGACCGCCGGCTGCAAGTGTGGACAGGGATGTGACAAAGTCGCTCAAAGATTCGTTGCTGTTTGGGTTGTTTGCTTGGCTCAATGGTTTGGAGGATTGCTGTGCTAATGATAGAGGAAAACACACTGTAAAATGGTGTTCATCATTAACAAGTCATTTGTAATAAACATACAATGTAAAATGCTGTTCATCATTAACAAGGTATTTGTAATAGACATACAATGTAAAACAGTGTTCGTCATTAACGAGGCATTTGTACTTTGAAGTCACGTGTCATGGGAATGTAACATATTCCATGCAGTAGATACCACAAGACTCTCGGAGGGAAGCTGAAGTTCGCTGAAGGCTTCTCATTTCCATCCTCCCACTTGGTTACCTCTTTGCTTTCCCATTAACTAAAAATCATAATCCAAAGATAACTTCCCTTTGCACAGCACAGAATGCATGGTGCTCCTCTGGTTCAGGGCCATTCGTGTACAGCGTCTTCTTGACGTGCCCTCAAGGTGAGGTCTCGTTTTCATGAATGCTCTCAGTGAAAAGTGAAATGCTCGTTCTTAACAAATCTCTTCGGGTACCTGAAGAGCTCATTTGGGGCCAAGCTTTGAAAAGGAGGTAAACACATGGCTGATGTGAGTAACGGAGTCAGAAGGGAATCAAAGCATTGACAACGTAAACAAGCTGGCTGACTTCTGTGCAGCTTGCAAGCTGGATCTGATGGCGCCTTGGTCACCTTTCTATTACTGTCACAAAATAGCTGAAATAAAACACTTTAAGGATAAACGATTTATTTTAGCCCCAGTTTTTCATGTTTCAGTTCATGTCCCACAGCTCCCTTGCTTCAGTCCTGTGGCAGGCAATCTGTCATGACGGACACACGTGATGGAGGAAAGCCACTTAACCCATGACCAGGTACGAAAAGAGAGGACGCCACCTCTTCCACGATTTGTCTTCCTGTGACCTAGAACCTCCCACTAGGCTCTACATTTTAAAATATCTACCACCCCCCCTCAAAACACCATCACTTGGGGACCAACCCCGGGTGAGTTCTTGGGTGAAATTTACCCAAACTATAGAAGAATTTCCAATAAATATTTCCAAGAAGGATTACAGAAAAAGTTAAAGCATCGATGGTATTTTTAATTTTGTTTTGCTTTGTTTTTTGAGGCAGCATCACGTTGCCTGGACTGGTCTTCAACTCACTCCGTAGCCCAGGAGGATCTTGAAATTCTTATCTTCCTGCCTCCACCCCAGCAATGCTGACACTGCAAGTTTGGTTTATATGATACTGGGGATGAAACTGGGCACACATGGCTGCTATGCAAACACCAACTGAGCCACATCCCCAGACCAAGGGTTATACTTTGTAAAACACAGAAACAAATACAAGTCAACATCAGTTCTGGCTCAGTTTGGTTTTGTTTTTGACAGAGTAGCATTATGTAGTTCTGGCTAGCCTTGAACTCATAAAGATCAGACTGCCTCAATCTCCTGAGTGCTGGGATTAAATCTGTGCACCAGCACATCAGGTTTTAAGCTCTGCCCTTTGTCATAATTTTTTTTGTATCTTTTCTTCCTTCCCCCCTGGTCTTCACAGCTCTGGTTTATAGTAAGCTTGTCTAGCTCTGGTTTCTGTGTTCCACAGCAAACCAACATGGGCTGCTCCAACTGGCAAGGACTCTGCCAGCTTGCATCGGTCATGACATTGTGTTTCTATGGGGACACAAAGTCAGTCCTGATTCTTGAGGAATTTTCATAAACTCGCATGATGGGCTTCCTTCCTGACTGTGTAGTAGTACTTCAAGCCAAGCTCCCTTGCAGCATCAAGTGATGGCCACTTAATAATCTCTGTAGACATCCCAGTAGAAGTCCCAGATGGAATTAAGACAGGAGGTGGCAAACTTTGATGAATTTCCCTCATGGCAAATCTGCAGAACTCACGGTAATTTGAGACTCTCATTAACTATTTTTCAGTGATGGGCATAAATGACGATTTCCTCCATTCATGCCCAAGTCTTAGGAATACCAAGTGGGAATAATCATCAAGGGGAGAATTCCGAAAGTTTATATAAACATGTTTTCCCTATGACCCCTGTGTGTGAAAAGGACAGCTAGGAACCCGGTAGGGACAGCAGGTCAGTCCCCAGATAAGTGGGACGAACCCATTGCGGAATGCTCCCCCAGCTGACATTAGGCACAGCCTGACCTTTAAGCTGCCCAGCTGATCAGTCACTGTTCAGCTTTGCCCCTCCCACCCCAGCAACCTTTCTCTTTTAATGGAAGCTGGGGTCCTGTGATAGACGGGAGAAAATGAGAAAAGTTCAGGGTGGGACCCGTTTGGCAGGAGCACACAATCCAGTCTCGACCTCAGAGGTCAGGCTGCAGAATCCTCTCAAAGTCATTCTCAGGGATGTGAATTCTTAGGCAGTCCTTGACCATTGTGTCTGTCACCCCATCTACCCACTCTTAAACAGTAGCCCCAGTGAATTTCTGAGCTGCTGGAATGTTCTTCGAAATGATATGTTCTGGTTGAAATTAGCCCAGGAAGGAAAAATCTTCAGCAGCTCACGGCAGAACTCAGATAGGAACAGTTCTAGGCTGCATCCTTTTCTACAGAGTGCTGACGGTCTTGGCAGACACCATCTTGCGGGCTCCCAAAGAGATTTGCTTACAGAGGTATTGAAGGCTGATCCAGTCTCCCAAGATACAGCTGGGACCTGATGCTTGCAGAGGGACGAGGGTCTATCTGAAGGTCTGTAATTTACCTGCCTGATACCAAGCCTAGTGTTCTATCCAAGCCTCCAGGGCAGCTCAAAGATGGGGTCCCGACCTGGGGGTTTGGGGAGGCTATCTGCTCTCTTTTTAGGACCTTGTAGTCATTTCCTCGCTAGTGCAAGGGAAGGTTTTGTACAGTTATAAAAGAAGGCCAGAAGAGAACACGCTCCTCTTAGTTCCTAATATATTATGTCCTCCCCTGCCGAGCCTGGGGACTTAGTCTGGATTTGGTAACTAAAGTAATATAAATGTTAGCTAAGAAGCATTCCCGCAATGTGGTTCCAATTTAGGCTTGTTTTGAAGTCTAAAGGCCCAATATGTCTCGTAGATTCTTCACTGGACATTAGCGTTAATGTAATTTGCGGAGGAGAGCAGGCCGGTGGAGAAGGGCGGCCCTGGCCCTCTGTGGATGGGATCCGGCCCTTTTCCAGGGCCAGGAGATGCCTGAGCTTGCCAGTAGTCCCCCAACAGCCTTAGATGTCTGGGGGTTCACTCTAAAAATTGACCTACACTTGTGGGGATGATGGGAGAAGCAAATGGGTGCGGTATCCTTTTCCCAGTGTCCTTATCCGGGCTCTGCAAAGGGCGTCCAGGCTGAAGGCGGCCTCCCTCTGCAAGCTGTTAGCACTTTAACTTCTCTCTCCCAGCCTCATGCATGCCTTTTCAGAGTCGGGCTAGGCACCCCCTTGCGGGGCCCACTAGGGCCCGCAGCCCAACTCACACCCCTCGGAACCTCCCCCCCCCAATTCCCCGTAATGAGCATCCCCCCTGGAACTGCCTGCCCTTTATCTTGCTGGGGGGACCTGCACCTTTTGAACTACCATCTGTAGATTGTGTTGGTGCACTGACTTGTTAACTGTGCCGTGCTGTGAAGGAAATGGCATGATTTAGATCAAGTACCCAGGACGGCTGTTCATAAGAAACACTTGAGCCAAGCTGTTGCTGCTCCGAGCGTGCCCTGGGGAGACGGGTTCCGTTTTGGGTCACGGTCCTGCCTTGTATGAGGGCAGGCGCAATCCCGGGCTTCGCTGGGGCTGCAAGGGGGGGTGGGGTGGGGGTGGAGAGAGGCATTATGAAACCATGAGGCTGCCAAATTAACTTCTCACCCTTTCAACCACACTCCAGAGGATAAAAGCAGAACATGTCTGCCTCAGAAACGGGCTCGATTTACACCAAACAAGTTCTTTCTCTAATTTATCAGCCCAGTCAGCCAGCCTTCTGATTATGGGACATCTCTGCTGTTTATGAAGCCCCCTTCGGAAGGGGCATCATGTACAACCAGCCAGGAAACGGGTCCGTGGAGAGTTTTGAGGACCGGGACTTCTCTGGGGGACTACCTATCAAAGTAAACAACATAAATAAATAAATAAACAAACCCCTTCTGCTTCAGACAGGCAACATTTCAAAATGGAAGGACCACAGCAGGTAAGCACAAATCATTGCGTCCTCCCAAACGGCAAGTATCTGTAAGTAAAATCTAATTAGGAAGACGAAGGTGAGGCCAAGCCGGCGCTATAAAAAGGCAGCCTTCAGCTTCATTCATCACCTCTCGAGCTAATTCCACGGACACGCATTTGTCCGCTATATGGAAATAGATGATTAGGGTCATTCTCTAAGACAAATTTACTTTTCTGCACGCTCTAAATCTGTTTAGTCAGTTTAAAGGTGTCAATTATTGGAACAGGCTAAGACTATGAATTTCTTAGTAATAGCTTTAATAACGTTTTGAAATGAAAAGCAGATACCTTGAAATCAGCCTGCTTTGAAAAGACCTACGAGGCGCTCTGGTTCTAATTTGCGCGACGTTCTACATCTGGAATCCCTTATAATTAAAACTAAAAAACCGAACTACTACTTCCACCTGTCAAATGATGAAAAGATGAATGCACTAATAAGTTACTAAATAGCCCAACCTGATCGAGTTTACATTGGAGCGCTCTACAGTAAAACAGAACTCTGGACAGGAGGCTAAAGGTCTCGGTCATTACTAATAACACTCTCCGCATTAGCCTGCGTGGCCCACTGCAACTACCGGCGGGTCTCAGAGTCAGGGTGGATTGTTGGGAAGTCTTTGTTTTAAAGGAACTATGAACTTCAGACAAGAATATTTAAAACACATAAACGGACCCAGCTTTTCTTCTCCAACGTTGTTTTCAACACTTTGGCAACTCTCGGTCAGGGTTTCTTACAGAGATCGCAGGCAGCTGCTAAATTCAGATTGTGCGAATGTCTACCACACACCCACAGCAAGAAAGGCCTCGTGCCAGCCTGGGGGTGTGACGTTGCGCAAAAATGTACCTTTCGTTGTAGGTAACCCAGAAATGGGAAAGGCTGCAGTGAGTTCTTCTTTCTCCAGGATGACTAAACCAGAGCCCTTTGCCGCGGAGAGAGCAGTTCTCTCCGCTTGCTGGGCTGTCACCCCCGCTGAAGCAGCAAGGCTCACTAAAAGCGCCCTTGCACTGTCTCTGGTGTTCAGAAGGTTAATTATTTTAAAAGGTAAATCCTGAGCTGTAATCCCTACTGAAGCTGCTTGCAACGACTCCCCTGCCAAGGTCGAGCTGTGTGGGCGGCCCCCAAAGGCTCATTTTTCTTATTACACAAGTCGAGCTTTCCTGTCATGAAGTAATAAATGGAAATATCATATTTTGAAAAAAGCATCAGTTCTGGAGAAAAAAAAAATTGAAGAGTTTTGCTGGTGATTGAAGGGTCTTTCCACGGGTTGGCCACTGGCCGGGACAGGGGTGTCCTAACTGTTCCTCCAATACCATGACTGCCAGTAGCACCTGCGTGCCCCGGACACAGCAGTGTGGTCAGAGTGAGCCGAGCGCTCCCTGGGGGAGAGCTGAACCCACCGAAAGAATTCCAACCTGGCTTAACCCTTTGAGACTACCAGAGATCCCCACGAAATTCCTATTTTCAATACTCTTAAGTCCAGGAGATATTTGCTTACCTGTATACTTTCCACTTGACCTTACTTGACCGCCACCCACCTGCTCTAAAACCTACGTCCAAACTGGCCGCCTAAACTCTCAATCCGGCCCAAAGGCACTTCAGCTGGCCAGCATGCTGGGGTTATAACCGCACCGTTTCCTGTATCCGAAAGGTAGAGACAACCCAATTGGTGGGTGAATGTACAAAATGTGGAGGCTACTCAGACTGGGGGAGCTCGCTATACACAATCATCTCAACACAGTTGAAGCCCCAGATGGTGCAGAGAAACCTGGCAGGGACACAAAAGCTGAGCCCATGGAATCTGGTGCATCTCCATGGCCCCTCCACCGCACGGAAGCAGAAGACCAAAGATTCTGGCTATGCCGTCCACCCTGGTCCAGCCCTCTGGGAACTCTCTGATCAGTGATCAGGACACTCGCAGTCGTCCTGCCAGGTAGCTAGTGGGTCCCAAGAGCGTGTAGACCAAGACTCGATATGATGGGAAGGTCCCTCTGAACAGCCAGGCTCCAAACTACAGCAGAAGATTTACTTGGTCCCAGATCTCCTTACCTGCCAGGTAGAAGGTCATGAATAAGGGATTCATCCTGGAAGATGAGACACTGAGAGAAACAAAAGTGAGCTCTTGAGTCAAGACCACGGAGGTCTTCACTATAAATGTGTATCAGCAACAAACACACCTAAAATGCGGCCTAGCAGCATGCGAAGGCAGGAGGACCAAGGCGACCCCTGCAGGCAGGCTGAAGCAACACAAGACAGTTTGGAAAATGAAGCTCATCCCTCCAGGTTTCTCCAGGAGCCCGCAGATGCTATCCTGGTCTGGCACGGGTCAGATGCCGAGCAGAAAAGTGAGACTCACCTTTAAGCCACAGCAAGGCCAGCCATTGTTGGGCCCTGAAAGGAAATTATCCGTGAGCTCCAAACAAAACTTGTCCAATGGACTTGGAGCGGGACATGAGGACTGCCACGTGTTGGGCCCCACAGAAGGCTCTGGCTCCTGTGTGTGCTGGCTTCCCGCTCAGCATGTGCGTGGACTCCAAAACACTGTGCGAGGCAATGGCGATGTTTTAAAAGGTAGTTTCACCTCTGGACGAGGAGGCCCAGCCAGTGAAGGACTCTCCTGGGAGAGGGCAGACAATAGCTCTAGATGCCAGCACTCTAGATCTTTGTTCATAAAAAGTTAAAACTAATACATAAGTAAATAAAATCTCTATCCAATCTGCGGCGCTGTGCTGACTGAAGCCGGAGGTGACCCACCTTTACATTTTCACCATCAGGTAAAAGCTTAATTAAAATCATGGGTTTCCTTCCTTTCAGCTAACTTCTTACCACATATTAAATAGTTTTATCCAGGCATAGGTAGGTGTGTGTGTGTATACATGTGTGTGTGTGTGCATGTGTGTGTGTGCCTGTGAGCCTGTGTCTGTGTGTATGCATGTGTGTGTGCATGTGAGTGTGTGTGTGTGTCTCTGTGTGTGTGTGCATGTGAGTGTGTGTGTGTGTGTGTGTGTGTGTGTGTGTGTGTGTGTGAGTGACACTTGTGTAGAGTTTAGAGGACAACCAGAAGGAGCAGCTTCTCCTCTTCCAACATCTGGATCCAAGAGATCAAACTCAGGTCATCAGACACGGTGGCAAGTACATATACCCTCTGAGCAACATCCTAGGCGTCTGCTTGGTTCCCAGTTTTTAAGGTCAATGTCGCAGAAATCAGTACATCAAATTAAAATTTAAAAATATATATACCAGAAAGAAGATTTTAACTCAAGGCATAAGGTGGGACAGAACTTTAAGGACATTATACTGAATGAAATGAGCCAGTCACAAAAGACGGATGCTGAGATTCTACAACACCAGGTAGGATAAAATCCATAGAGATGGAGAATGGAATGGTGGCAGGCAGGAACTGAGAGGAGAGAGAACGGAGGGCCGGTGTGTAGTGGGCGCAGAATTTCTATTTGGAACAATGCAGGAAAATCCCTGCCAATGCGAGGTTGCCTGATGACGTCACTCACTGAACTGGCTACCTACAAATGGCTAAAGTAGCCAATTTTACTACATAGATTGTACTGCAAGAAAAATCAAATTATTTTACACTAAAAGAAAAGTCTTCACTTTTCAGAAAACAAAGAATCTAAGCAACCCTAACACTGACCCCAATGTTCCCAAAACTTGAAACTCGGCCCTGGCTTGTCAGGGCACTTCAGCCTACCACAGCCTCCATCCGTTCCTCCTTCTGACCTCTGCCCATCCTCCTTCACACTGCTGGCCGGCTCCTGTGGCATCCCTGCTCAGAGACCCTGTGAAGAACTCTCACTGTGCACAGCTTCCACAGCTATGCCCACACTCCCCACAATCAAGCCAGCCTATCCCAGGTCCCGATGAGCTGAGGAAGAGGGGTGAGATGGCAGTGTGGAGAGAGAAAGCCCTTCTCGCAGGGCATCACAATGCCCACCACCTCCCGGCCAGGAGAAGGGATGTACACCACATTCCAGAGACCTCCCATTGTCACTCTTTCTTGTCAATGGTTGCAAGTATACCAGCATTGGTACATGATTCGAAGGCCCTAGAAGCACCCTTGAGAGCGTGCAGAGTGTCTTTGCATCCGTTTCCCTTGATACTGACTTTACACAAATATATTACTGGTTTTGCTACTTCGGAGTCAGGGAGTAATGACTTCAAGAGTCATTATTGAAACTTGGATTATCCCCAAACTGTGAAATTTATTTTAAGCCACTGGCTGTCTAAGGTTATTTTTCCCTCTAAAATGCTACTGTCAAGTGATCATTTAAAAACATTTATCAAAAACCAAGGACTACAAACTTTAATCTGTACACTCCTCACAGAGCAAAGCCTAGCCCAGCACTGAAGCATAAATGATGTGTTGGTTTAATCTATTTTTCACAGGGGGTGTCTGAGAGTAGGGAAATTAAAAACAGGTCAAATGGACTATTCTGACTGTTCTGTGGTGTGTTTTTTTACATGAGGTCTGGATTAAGATAACATCTGGTCTATATTTCTTGAACTATTTCCCTTTTATCACAAGAAAACTCGGCAACCCATCTCGCGACTGCTCTTAATTTGGCTCTAAATATCGCTGATGAAACGTTGTACAACATGTTGTTGTCTATTACCGTGATTTCCCTGAAGGAACAGTTGATACTTTTATGTAGCCCAGCACAGCTAATCACGCCAGGCCCCCTTAGTAGGACGTACCTTGCAACCCTATGTCCAAATGCCCCACCTAAATCCCTCTTGTGGTACCAAATGAGTCTTATTCTGAGGCGAACTTCACTACAGCATCAGGTCTCAGAGTCAAAGAACCATCCGGAATCCTTTAGAAGGACAAACACGGCACGCCAGCGCCAACAAGCCGTTGTTCTTGGCACTGCTGCCATTCAGCCTCTCGAAGGGGAACCAGTAAGTTCTCTCCTGTGCCTTTCAGGGTTCAAGCCTCAGACAGTGCAGTGTACTGACTTATAATACAATCTCCTGAGGGTTTTTTTTTATTTGTAAGGAATTGTGGGACTCAGAACAATTGCATAACTCATTTCTACAAATAATAAGTCAGGAACATGCTTCTTCTGATGCCGTTTATACACCAGTAGTATGCACCGTTTGATTCATGTTAAACTGCATGAATCTTCCGCACCACAGTAAGGGAATGTCTGCACTGGGCAGTTACATGGAAAATTACCTTCCATTTGGCAACAGCACGCGTTCCTGAATTAAAAAACCTAAAGTCCACAAAAGGTGTGAAGGTTTTAAAAAACAGTGAGAAGCAGCGCTGAACAAGTGTGGAAATATAAAGCATTCGATACGGGACAAGGTGAAATCAGAGCTGTATCCCACAGAAACTACAGAAATGATAGGAACAACCAGAGTTCCCACAATAAGACACTGACTAGCGGCGTCTCACGTATGGACCGTTTACCGCCATGGAGGACGAGCAAATGCTCTGTGGACTGAGGCGCATCCTCACGATGTCTTGAGAACAGAGCACGAACAGTGTGGTGTCACTCTCTCTTGTCATTAAAAGTAAAATGAGGCTGGTGAGATGACTTAGTGGGCAAGGACACTGGCTGCCAAGCCTGACAACCAGAGCTTCATCCCTGCTCACCGCACACAGACATCATGCACACATGACAACCTGAGCTTCATCCCTGCTCACCGCACACAGACATCATGCACACATGACAACCTGAGCTTCATCCCTGCTCACCGCACACAGACATCATGCACACACACATGCATAAACACCAATAGAGACACTCAAAAAATTTAATATATTTACACAAGTATGTGTATATGTACATACACACACACCAACATGTATGAAGAAGCCAGAAAGAATTCACACCAAACTAGAGGCTGACAATTAGGGTAAGGGAGAAATCACCTCTGGATCTTCTAGCTTTGAATATGCAAATATTACTTTGATTTTTTTAAAAATAAAAATGCATTGAAGAAACAAAGCAGATAGAACTGAGATGAGGGGGGCACTGCCCTTGAGGAATGAGTGGTAAGAAAAGGGTGGGGGTGGATCGCAAGACAGGGTGAGTGCCTGCAGTGGAGGGCAGAAGGCAAGAGAGTGCCAGGCCTCCTGTCATCCTGCATTTTTTGGAGGGAATTCTGAGAATAAAAAGCCTTTGGGAGTTATCAGCGGTCAGGCTGGAGCCGTTCAGTTTCCACCTGCCTGTGTTTGCTGCCTGGCAGCCAGTCAAGGGTGCTCTTAGCAGACTTAAGATCCAGGAGAAAAGATTATCCCAGAGTAGGCAAGATAAGGGGCTGGAAAGTGTGGCTGGTTATCACGATCACAGGACCAAACGGGTCAGAAAGGATTTCATCTAGGTTTCACTAGAAGCAGGTAATCTCTGCAGGAAGAATGGAGCAACTGTCCTCGGGAGACACTTCGGGGCAGCGCACACAGCAGTGGAGGGGGAGATAAACGGGCGATTTCCCGAGTGCAGCGACGGCAAGGGCGTTAGGCTGGGGGCGGATAATGCAGGAACAGCAGTGTTCCCACAGCCTCCTTATTCGCTGACCCCGGATAATGAAATAACCTTCACGCTCTCGCTGGGGCATTTTTAATAGTTTTGAATGATATATTTCCATTCACTGTGGGGTTTTGTCCCCCCCCACACACACACACTTTTTGCTGAGGAAAGATCTATATGGAATTCTGTCTACAGTTTGATAAAAAGAAAAGGGGGGCATGCTTGTAACATTATTTAAGCACTTAATTAAGAGGATTTTTGTCTGTCTGTTTGTTTGATTTAGTCACTAGGAATGCAAGGCTTTGCTTGGGTGTAGCCGACAGTGCCCTCTGGTACCGAAACGTTTTCAAACATGTACTGGAATGGCAAAGGTTCGGGGTTCGTGTCGGCATGGCAACTTAAAGGCATTCACAAACAGTATGAACTTGCACAGCATTTCACCATGTTGTCCAATGATCACTCAGCTCGAAGCCCCACTGCGTAAGGACGCCTGCAAAAGGCAGCGCGCATGCGCACAAGAAGATGCATTTGGTGTTTGCGTCCCTCTGGCAGTGATTGCTCTGTTTCTCCAACTGCTTTCCACGACAAGGGCTCTCTCTTTGCAGTGTTTCCTCTTTTTCTTTTGAGGAAGTCCAGGGGAAAGGCACCAAGGCTTTCAAACAGGTAGCAGCATCTCCGTGCACAGCCCTTAGGCACACAGCTC